ATATATATATATATGTGTGTGTGTGTAATTCATACTCGACTGCACTGGTGTCAAACTCAAGGCCCGGGGGCCAAATCCGGCCCACCAAGTCATTTTATGTGGCCCGCGAAAGCAAATCATGTGTCAACTTGCTAAAATCTGTACCGTAATGTCAAATTGTCATGTAATAAATAACATTGAGATTTTGCAATAATTGTGTTACCCTGTTTACACTCACTTGAACAATAATTGAACAAACTATTATAATTGACTTGACTGATCTCAAAACTAGTAATCCATTAATTTGTTTTGTACAAGTGATAATTTTGTGGTTTCGCTGTCATAATGGCCCCCGAGGGAAGACGTAACGCCAAATTGGCCCTCGACTAAAATGAGTTTGACACCCGTGCTCTACTGTATTAGAAAGGCTAAAGTACAGCAGCACAGTTTACTGTTGTCATTTATACAGGATTACATTAATTGCATATATAAAGTGGTATATAAATCTAATGGGTTATTTAGTCTCGGATGTAATTTATTAATTCAATATTTATATGTACGGTATTCAAAATCAAATACATGGAGCTATTTGAATAGTTCATATTCACAGCTTGTTATTTGCAGTAGGGCTGAACGATCTTGGAAAAACATGAGATATGCGATCTGGCTGTTGAATATTGTGGTGTCAATATTTTTGCGATACTTAACATCTACCAAAAGAAATAATATCTTCATTATGTAATGAAAGAAATACTTTTTTTATTGAGGAAAAATAAGCAGGCTCATCATTGTCTAATCATATCTCAGTAGGTTATTTAGTGTTAGTCTTGGCCCGACATACCGTTCTCCAATTGGATGGCGATGTGCATTTAAGGTTGCATCTGAGTCTGCAAGGTCAGATAAAAGCATACAGTTCCATCTGAATTAATCGGACGCCTCTGCGATACACATCTTGCATATGTCGTCATTGCGATGACAATATTTTTTCAATACATTGTGCAGCCATAACTACTACTATGACTTCTTATTCTAATAGCATCAATGGTTCAACGGTTCAACGTAACCCCTCTTTGAGTTTATTCTGGAGTGTTCAAATGACACAGTGCATTCAACAATATGTCGTGTCTCTAGAATGAGTAAGCTAAAATAACTAGCTGCAATCATTCACAACATTCACAATGTTCTGCCAGCTAGAGTCAGACAATGAAGAAATTTCACTGAATGATGGCAAGAAAGCAAGGAAGCAACAAACTTCATTTTGAATATCAATGTATCTCTAATCTTGTAAGATATTCAGGAATCTGTCTTGATCCCACCTCATTTTAGGTTTCTAATTAAAACTTTGTTGACATTCAACTTCCCATGTTCTCGGCTGGTAAAGCATTTCATTGGCTTACAGTGAGGTAAGGGCAGGGTTTATCGCACACCATAAGAAAGTGCGCATTGCAAATCCAGATGTTATGTTGTTTTTCAAAAATCATTTTCATCCCAGTTAATGAGTGAGCTTTCTTCTTCAGCACTTAACGTATGTTTCCAACCGTTGAAAGCAATTGTTTGCCCCTAACAGTAGGTGTGAAATAAAAAGAGCGAGAGGCAATGGGGAGTCCTTTCTGTACCAATGACCAAAAAAAATGTCTGCGAACTCCATACTGTGATATTCAAGAGGAATTTACCTTATTTGACAACCTGTTCATACATGTATAGATCAGTGTAAGATGTAGACAATTTTAACAAGCTTCATCTATGTTGGCTTGTATGAACAGCCTCAAGACTGTTTCAGGGGCCACATTTCTCTGCGAGGCATATCCAAGTGCAAATCGACTACATGACTGTTGCCACTGCTGACTTGCTTTTCACAAATGGCCAGTCTTTTTCTCCCCTCAGTTTGTTTATGCTGACTGCAAAGTAAATCGCCACGAGAAGCCAACTACTCTTTCCTTAAATCTAAAGCTGACTTGGAACTTCACAAGATAAAACATGGAGTTGAAAGGATTAAAGCAGAAGCCAAACCTGTGTGGTAATGATTACATATTGTGGGCAAATGAAGCACAACTCCCAACTGGTCGTGCAGGATCAAGAATTCACTCCCTGTGAGGAAATCGTCTAATAAAACTGTTGTACATATTTTCAATAACAGATTAATGACAGATATCCGCCATATTTGCCATTCAACGTTGTTGTGTTTTCTCAAAAACGTCTTCCTCGGTACAAAACATGTCACAATCAGCTACAAGTGATGCTGACATATACTGGCTAGATGCCATTTGTTTGCAATTTCATATATTTGTTAATATGCATTTATTTGTCAGAATTATACAAAGTTACTGTATGTCCCTTCAAAGTGCAGGGGGATACATGATGTAATGTGACAAAAGCAAAGATACAGGATACTATAAGGAGTTAGAAAGTCTTTTAAGCAACCATGAAGCAACTTTCACAGTCAACTGTTTATTTGCTAAAATCCCATCCAATATTAAAATATGGTTTAATTGCGTACATTTCTGTGCAATTGGCTGCCGACCAGTCCTCTCGCTCAATGTCAGCTGGGATAGGCTTCAGCTCAACTGCCACCCTAATGACGACAAGCGGTCTCGAAAATGGAGCGTTGGATTGATCAAGCGTCAATACTTTAGCATTTCAGTTTTTCCTACCCACCCTGGAAACACGTGGCTTTGCGGTTGAGTCTGTGATAAGTAAATTAGTAAATGAGTACATTACATTTGGGTGTAAAAACAACACCAGGATAAGGGTATGTGGGTCAAACTATTTTACAGCTTGCAAATTGTTATTAGACCTCATTATCAGCATGAGTTTGCAATCAGTCAATGAGTTCGCCCACCAACAATAACTTTTAGATTGAGTATTTTACCTTGACGGCCTTTGGGTGCCTCACTGATGTCACCTCAGCCACAGCTCACACTTTACTGCTTAACAATTACAGCCATGATTGGAGAGGAGTTATCACGACAATGCAAGGTCAGGGTGCCACATGTCAAATGGTCTGTTTACTGAAGTGAAAGTCAGGGAAATTGCTGAGCCAAGCAGCAGACGGGGCCACAACTATCGCACAATGTCACATGGAGTGCTCCTGACATGACAGGTGTGCTTTTTTTTGAGGTTCTGAAGATCTCACGAAGGGCCATATTTTCCAGACTGCGCCTTTTTGTGCACTTGGACTTGTGTGCTTTTCCTTTATGCTGATTTTGCCATCCACGCTGGTGACCCAAACACTGCGTTTGAGTTGTGAATGAATGCAGTCAGACTAAAAAAGTGCGGTTGCCTGTCTGGCAAATCATAGAACAGGGAGTTTTCCTCAAACTTGTGATTGTCATTGAGGACCGTGAAAAAGGATTAGCACATTTTAAATTTGAAAAGGCACTACACCAGCGGTCCCCAGCGTTGTTGTTTTTTTCCCCCCAACATAGCAGTTTCACATCAACATATTTTGATTTAAAAACAAGCTAAATCAAATGATTTAACTTGCATGTTTTTTTTGTTTTGTTTTGTTTTTTTTTTATCACACGCAAAGGTTTCAAATCATCAAACCAATTTTAATATCACCTTAGGGGGCAACCCACGGAAATACAATATGCAGTTTTCAAATCATAATACTTTTTTTAGGGCACAAAATTAAAAAATCCAAACCTTTCTGACTCGGTGAAAAGGTAATGCCCCCCTGAACCTAATAACAGGTTGTGCAGCCATGAGTCAAATCAGACATTTGCAATAATTGGTGTGGAGTCGTTCACATCGCTCTGGAGGAATTTTGTCCCATTCTTCTTGGCAGAATTGTTTCAACTGATGCAAGGAAATGTAGACTTGAGAAAAGTTTTTTCATTGGTGATAAGCTATTACTCCTTTTTGTGACTGGCTCCAAATCATCCCTTAGATCTGAGGGGTCCAAACTCGGTCCTCAAGGGCCACCGCCTGTTTTCCATCTTTGCCGGCTGCAACACATGATATTTTTGTTTATTAGGGATCAAAAATGTTCACAGTCGCTGAAAGGTTCTCCCCGTCATTTCTCATTTTGCCATCGCTATGCAGGTGCTGCTGTGCATACTGGTTTGCGCCTGTTTTTTAGACATGGTTTTTAAAAACACAAAATCAGTTAGCATAATTCATCTCAGGTTTTATAAATCAAAATTGCATGTGCTAAATTATTTTGTTTGCCTCTGGTCCTCATAGAACATACAAAAGTAACTTGTCCGGTAATTATGCCCTTTTGGCAGACACAATCCTCTTAGCCCCCGGTTAGTAGATCAGCTTCCACATTCATTTGCATTAGCAATACAGTTTGTGCCTATTTTTGCACATGCAAACCTTTTGTAAATCAGGCTGTGAGTGTTTTTCCAATGCCACAGGTGGAGCCTTACATCCCTTGTGCTTGGTTGTGTACTAGGCGGCTGTTGACTGCCGCTTTTAAGATGGGGAATGTATGGAATTCTTCTTAGCATATCAGTGTGAGGCTTAAGTCACATGAGCATCTCTGGAGATACCCTGTTACGAATACATGGCAGTTGTTATCCCTTCAAATCTCATCTCAGCATCAAACAAGGAGTCAAATGTTGTCTGCTGGTCATGCAAACCAGAAGGAGCTTTCGTGAATTTGAGCGTGTAACCAAGGAAATTTTACACCAGCAAGTAAACATAGCGTAACTTGTTTTCCAGGTTCCTATTTTGCATTATGTTGGTCCTGTAGAGTAGCTCCAGTTCAACCTTGGTATTCATCATCGTATAATTAGGATGCCCAAGCATGGTGACGGACGCCACTATCGTAAACATGCAACACGTTGCCAACCAAATGAATAATATATGACATGTTATGCAGAAGCTGCTATATTTCTTCTGTCAACGCAGTCATTAGTTCTCAAACAAAAAAAAAAAGAGCATGAATTCTGTAAAGAGGACAACATTCACTGTCAAGTTTGCAAATAAAATTGGTCAACAGCAAATTTGAATCAGATGTTAATGTTTAATCAGACGGCATTATGTGTCCCCTTTTGACACTGATTCAAATATATCACTACTTTTTTCTAGCACATCGGCTTTTTGAGATATTGTCATTGTTTGTTTTTTTTAAGTTGGATCTATAAAAGCTCATGCAATACGTATTTCACTATGCATTGTAATTTGTATCTATGACGTTTCAGAAAAACTTAATTTGAAGTTTTTACATTCACTGCCATTTACCTGATTTTACCCCTTCTGCGGCTGTTACTAAGGCTTGTTGTTTTTGGTTGCTTTCATATTTGTAAGTATGGCTTAACTGTAAGTGACATTCATTGTCATTTGCTCACTCGTTATTGTTAGAGTGCACACGAATGATTGCAGAAAGTAATGCTGCTCACAATATTTTGTCGAACAAGCACCATGATTTTAATTGAAAACATTTTTGCAACCTGTTTAACCTTTGTTTGAGTCTCCTTTCTGAGCTCTCCGTTGGAGTTATAGTTTAATTATGCTAAATTATAGATCAAACAAAATTGTATTATCTCCCGCGTGCATGGTGTATCTAGTTATTGAGGGAGGACCGACTAACCCTTCATTTTGACGTCTCGGGTCCTGATATTACATTAAATGTCAAATCTGCGTGGGAGAATATTTAATGTTTAGGTGACTGGACCAGATTGAGCTTCATGACCCCCCCGCGCTGTGTGCATCCACGCTGATCACTGAGGAGGGGAGAGCAAGGAAACCAAAAGCTCAGCGTTTTAAAGTATTTAGCGTTTGTACCAAGTGGGCAGATTTTTATCTGTGCGGTGCTGTCGGGTCCAGAGTGCGGGTGAATAACGCTTTTGAATGCACAGCCTAAAATGTAACAATAGTGGTGGTGAGCAAACAATACCGCTTGGGTTTGGCTGCCAAGCCTGGATCGAGACGCTCTCAGGCCTCACCTTTGGCACACATGTCACTTGAATGCATTCATTCACAGACAGTAGCCGATTGATCAGCTGTGAGTGCTTGAGTTGACCTTGACCCATTCAACATAATATTGATTCTTGTTTTGGTTTCCAAGGGGGAGTGGTGGATTTGCCACACAAGATCAGAGACCTGATCCGTAAATGTCTTTTACATCACATGGACAAAAATATGGACCTCATGATTAGTCATCTGTCATAAGTAAAGACAAGAAGGTGGCCCTCTGTGTGACCGATGATAACGAGGCCAACTTTTCACTGATGGCAGCTTCAGAGCCTTCTCTGTTACATAGAACCACTTAAGAGTCGGCTTGGTTTCATGGTTGCAGCTTTAATTGCCCTCCTTTCAAAGCATGGCCAAGAGTCACGTCCAACCACTCCTCTCGGACCACTTTTTGCCATTTTAACAAAAGATGGAAAGTTCTGGTTCATCAACAACCCGCACTTTAGTAGCCATGTTCAATATTGAAAAGTCTGCCTCTTTGATGAGATCAAAATGACACGTACACTTACGAATGATACGCCCATCCATCCGCTTTCTATGTCAGGGTCGAGGCTGTGCTAGAGCCCGCTCAGCTGACTTTGAGCAAGAGGCGAGGTCGGATTATTTATGAAAGAACATGTATGGAGTAGTGTAAGAGGTTCCTGAGCTTTTCTATGCCCCACAGCCTTCAACTAAAATTTGATGGTAAGATAATTTGGCAGTTGTCGAAAAAGCGTTTTGCCAATTGACTCTCACAATTTGGGACTTTTAGCCATGAAATAGGTGCTACCATCTATCTTGTAGCCCAATTATTACTCCAATTGCAGGACACTGTACCCATATTTCGGACTGCAGTGTCGACTTCAAGACAATAAAATCCATTCACTTACCAACTACTGTGTTTTGTTGATAATGGGTGATTGTGGTCTGGATGTAAAAAAAATAATGTATTTTATTTCTGGTACTTTGATCTGTCCTGTGTTCATTTTGTATTTTGCAATGTGCCACCAGAGGTCGTGATCCTTGTTCTGTCTCTCTCTTTCTCTCTCTTTTTTTGTTTTACTTTATGTTGTAGGACCGGAATCGGCCCTTTGACGCATTTAGCTTGCACTCTTTGGAGAATTCCTTAATGGATATGATAAGGACTGACCATGACAAAGGTAAAGCTCACCCTGCTGATGGGCCACCAATGACTATCGCTGATATTTTGTGGAGGAATCATTTTGCAGGTTAGGAATATTCATACATCCGTGCTTACACTGTATGTATGGGTCGTGGATTTTGTTTTGTCTCGTTGCATGTTTACCGTTGTGGTTCTATGGCTGCTGCAAGCTTCCTCGTCAACCACAGAACAGCTCCACTCTATTTGTGCAGCGCTCTAATGTATTCGTCCTGCCATGGAATCAAAAACTCTCTTGTGCTTGTACATCTCACAATAGCAGCAAAATATTGGCATTCACTAATGTGAGATGGTAGTTTAGAGAGTCATCTTTGTCCGTAGGGGTTAAATGTTGAATGTAGAAATGAAGCAATCAGTAACTCATTCACTCCCAGAGACGTTTTTAAACGTCTTTTCAGACTTGATCCAGAATTGGCTGGTACTAAATGAGGTAACAGTCTATCATGTACAAAGTATAATAGCACCACACAAGTCTCACAAGGTCAGAATCACTCACCTGAGCCAATTGGTCAACCAGTTGAGTGAGAAAATGCAGCGAGTTTGCCTCACCTCCTGTTATTACTGCCTTGAAATCAGACTTTTTGCATATAATCTACCAACTCCACCCCGAGAACAAATTAACCATTGAGTTGGCATTCCCAACTCAATGGGTCCTACCCAAATCCATCCCATCATAGACACTGCATTTTCATTGAGATTGGTTGAGTTTGTTTGTTTGGGAAGAGCAACACTTGCTTCAAACAAAGCCCGTATGTCACTGAGCAGTCAAGGTTTGCAAATATGTTTTTTTTTTTTTTTGTGAGGGTTTTTTTTTGTCAAGGTTCTTTCAACGTTGCAAACAAATGTAAAGACGTTTGCCTGGCATTCCCAAACAGTTTTAATGGTTGCAAAAGGTTTTTCTTCTCACCACCAAATTTGGAAAATATTCCACATTTCTTTGCGACAAGAAAAACAGTTTGAGATCATTAAAAATGTGTCTTTTGCGACCGTTTGCAACCTTGAACAAACCCTAACGAACACCCCCCCCCACCCAAAAAAAACAGCACTTGCCACGTGCTCACACACTTGCAAACTTGACAGGCAGTATTTTACTGAGCTGCAAAGTTTTGCAAGTGTGTGCGCATGTAGCGAATGTTTCTTTTGTCGTCGGTGTTCATCCAATGTGTCAAACGGATGCAAAAGACATTTGCAAACAATTTTAATGGCCTCAAGAGTTTTTCTTGTCAATTTTCAACATGTTCAAATGTTGATGGCAACAAGAAAAATAGTTTGAGACCATTAAATCTGTTTTGGAATGTCTGGCAAAAATCTTTGCGACATTGAACGAACCCTGACCAAAAGAAAAAAAAAAAATTCTACGTGCACACACATTTGCAAACCATCGCCAATGAGTGAGAGACGGGCTTAAGCAAAATGTGTCTTTTATGGACTGTGAGATGATGCTTTTCCCCCGCTGCTCTTTTTTCCTTTTTAAAGTGGTTCTCTTCCCCCTCTGCAATGAGCGCTTGTTTGTCGAAGTTGATGTGTGACACGTAATCGTTGAAAATCCCTTGAAGGGTCAAGAGCTCAGTTTAAATAGACACTTCCAGGTATTAATTTTGTAACATTTATTATTATGGTTGTGCTTGGTAAGAAGGGCATGCGGCATAAAAACTGCCACACAATTAACGTGAATGATTCACTGTGGCGACCCTGACGGGACAGGCCAACAGTCACAACAACAAACATTTGGCAGTAGTGTAGAAATGCACTGCATCAATCAGTTTCTCATATTTTGTCCGACTTGGACCTAAACAAGTTAGACATTCATTTTAAAGTGTTAGTGCTCTCGCTCACAATTTAGCTGCTTTGGAATTTTGATATAGAAACACATGCACTCACACTCACGCTCGCTCAACTAGCATAACTCACATGATCTTTGCGATGCATTAGTTACCATTTGCATATTGTTACTGTAGGTGTGAGAGTACACAGTGCTTACATAGAAGTTTATGAACTCAACACAGAACTCCTTCAGTGTGTGTTGATTGTAATGATGTTTTTTAAATATGTGGAGCGATTACATTTTTAAAAAAAAAATCATTCTCCTAAATTGTTCAGAAGATAATCTAATTCTCCTGCCAAGTTGAAAATTTGCCACTTGTAATGCTGGCATTGGTCTTCTCTACCAGGCAAAAAAAAAAAAAACCTGACATGAATTGATTATTGTTGTGGACTTTAATCCAACTGATTAAGGTTGCGCTGGAGAAGCCAAACTCCTCAGTGATTTTGTAGTAAGCTATTTTGGGGGCTTTACCTGTAAAGTATTGATTCCAGTCTTTGTTCATGTTATAGAAAGGACGCTGCTAGCAAGTACAAGCCACCAGACGTAGAGAGCGAACAAATATTGCTGCTGTTTGACTTTCTACATTGTTGACAAAAGCATTGGTCTGTAGATAGGAGTTAACATGAGGTCTTTATCGGGAGCAAAACAAGCCTTGCAGGCACTACACATGTTGAATGAGTCGTAGCCACCAGAAGCATGTTTACAAATGTTGCACCACTCTTACGCCTCGTTGCTCCATTTGGGTCAAGTGTGAGTGGAGTGTGTCAGATTAACATTGCCATGTGGTCACTCTGTACATAAAGTCATCCAAATCCAAAATTTTCAACGCATGGGGAAACTAAGTCGACAGGAACTCCGTCCGCTCTCGTTTGGAGAGGGGTCATGCTAAATGAAGTTGAGGTGAAAGGTCAATATTAGCTTGCTTGCCTGACATGCTGGACTTGACCTCATAACCTTTCAGCACATTACACTGAGATGATCACGTGGCCCTGTACTTTAATCAAAATTTAATGACGACATACAGATAAGATGATGGGTTTGGCTGTGTTAAAGGTTACATTGCAACTAATGTCCAATAAATCCTGCCGTCAGTGTGATTGTGTTGAGTTGATGGAAAATTCACGGCTGGGGCAATCATGACTAGGCTAATCCCACCCAGGGCACAAAACATGTTTACTTGGCTTGTTTTGATCGTGAATAAACAGTTTGTCCAGATTAGATTGAAAGCTTCACATTCAATGAAAAACTGTGCAGCAGGCTCAACTGGATTCTCGAGCTCCCCCAACTAAAAAGAGCTATGAAAGACACCCCCGACTTTTACTTTTCTTACTTTTGACCCTTATGGTTAATTATAGTTTTGTTTTCCATGGAAACAAACATTCTCTTCTCCGTTGTGTAGCTACATGAATTTTCACCATGTTGACGTTCAAATCCTGAGTTGTTGGTCCAAGTGTGCATGGGAGGAACTAGGTCGTGCTGACTAATGCGGAAAGTAACTCTCAGTCTTTCCAGCGATGTCAGGTGCTTCTCCCTTGGTGTTGTTTTCCTTTTTTCCACACTATTCCATTGGTCCACTGCTTCCACTGGTCCTACTCATCACCATACATCTTAGGGGAGCAATGCAGCTGCGTTTTTCCATGATATGCATCGTGTTATTGTCATAGCCAGGCTCTTACTATACTGATCAAAATATAACCACATTTGCTCCTGTTTTTCCTGCGTCAAACTAAATAATTGAAGACTTTTTCTATGTACAGAAAAGGTCGATTTGTTTCTGGTGCTTCTTGTTTCCAGAAAAGAACACCAGGGGTTGCAGATTTTCCATTGCAGCAAATTGGTTAAGCGTGCAAGGGTCAATAAGCCTGGTGTGCTGGTGTGAATCATCTACTGTATTGTATTTTGTCCAGTTCAGTCGAGTCTGGCTTCAATGCTTTATGTGCAGCGAGTCTAAGCATCATCTCATGGGGATGCCCGTGGAAAGCAGAATACCTGTAAAAACAAAAGAGAAAATAAAAGACCAAAAAATTTACACGGGGAGAGCACCACAGATTAGAAACACCGTGAGAGAGAAGCAATTGCAATCCCACTGTCATTGAATGTAGAATGCTGCAAGAGTTTTTCGACATGAAAACACAGCTGTTGTCACATCCACCTTGAAGTTCAAGTCACAAAGGTCTGTGTCACAAAGGTCCAAGTCCAAGTGAAGTCAGTAATCCTGAGTCATAATACTAAGCTGCCATCCTGATTAGCTGATAAACAAAATATATAATGTGTATCCTAGTAGTAGGTAAATTGAAAATAAAATAAAAATAAAAGTCCATCACATGATATAAGCCTCATTTCTTTTTCCCCAGCTCTCTCTCTCTGTCTGCCTTTCTTGCGCCATCCAGCATACGTGACCCAAACCAGAATTAATTGTTCACAAAATGTTCTTGAAATAAATGATTTCACCTAGATTTAACGGAAAACGAAAACCGTAAAGGTTTATATGTAACTAAATACACAGAAAATATTACTCCAACATTGTAGACTTCTGATACCATGGCAATCAGTTGAAGGGAATATGAGCGCCAAATGCACCTGCAAAGTTCTGAAGGGTAACAGTGTGGATTTTTGACTTTAATTAAATTCACTTGAAACATAAAGAAAAATCTGGACATTTGTGGTGATAGTATTACTTTTGACATGCAGACGGTAACACACGTTCTTGATAGACTTTCTGGTGGGAGGGGCTAGTATGTAAAGAGTGTATGTGAACAGCGGCTCGAGGAGTGAGGACCGAGCAACATGCAATCAGAGGAATGAGATGAGCCCGTAATCAATGCCGTCTGCTCAAAGCAAAGTGTATACTCACCCAGCGAACAAACACACGTGAGACACGTGTTTCCGTCAACAGTTAGTGAAACGGGAGTCCGCCAGTTGGTACGGAAGCAGTTAGTGACGATTAGACTGACGGACGAAAACCCTATTCCATCGGTGCGTGGTTCATGAGTTTGTTTTTTTTCTCCAAGTTTCCTGTCATTTGAAATGAAAAACGGGTATTCGTCGGTCATGGTTTGACGGGCATTCAGTGACGGAATGCCCACCTTTTGAAAGCTGGCTTCTGACTTAAATGTTAGTGGCTATACAGTCTTCTGCTCGGTTGTGACTCTAAATGTGGTTCAGCCTTGAGGAAACAATATTTTGTGTGGTTAAGGTAGTTTTTACTTGATGTGTGTGCGTGTGTGTGTGTGTATGTGTGTGTGTATATATATATATATATATATACACACACACACACACACACACAGAGTATATATATATATACACACACACACACACACACACAGAGTATATATATATATACACACACACACACACACACACAGAGTATATATATATATACACACACACACACACACACACAGAGTATATATATATATACACACACACACACACACACACAGAGTATATATATATATACACACACACACACACACACACAGAGTATATATATATATACACACACACACACACACACACAGAGTATATATATATATACACACACACACACACACACACAGAGTATATATATATATATACACACACTGTATATGTGTGTATATACAGGTATATATATCTGTATATGTATGTGAAATATATATACTGTATATG